CAATTTGGTCATCTCGCTCGGAATTGTAGTAAGAAATTTTGCAACTATTGTAAGCAATATGGTCACATCATCGCAGATTGCCCAACTAGACCACCACGAAAGCCATTGCATGCCTTACATGCAACTACAACTTCTATGGACCATACTTCTGCTCCTACAACTTCTAGTGCTTCTCCCTTGACTCCAGAGGCTGTACAACAAATGGTACTGGAAGCGCTTTCTGCCTTGGGTCTTCATGGTAAGTTTAAAACTGCATCTCAATATTGGCTTGTTGATTCTGGGGCCTCTAACCACATGACTGGTTCCCCTGAAAAATTACACAATGTTCATACTTATCATGGCATCCAAAATATCCAAATTACTAATGGTAATACTCTTTCTATTTATGCTATTGGAGACATTAATTCCTCCTTTAGAGATGTGTTTGTTTACCCTGGGATTGTTTCAAATTTGATTTCACTTGGACAATTGGTCGATAACAATTGTAATGTTAATTTCTCTCGTTATGGTTATTCTGTGCATGATCAGGCATCAGGGAAAGTGATCGCGAGGGGGCCTAAAGTGGGAAGACTATTTCCTCTTCAGTTTTCTTTGTCTAATATTTTGTCTTTTGCTTGTAATGGTGTCCCGAATAAGTATGAGGACTGGCATAAACAATTGGGTCACCCAAACTCAGTTAATTTGGCTCATTTATTGAAAAGTGGATTGTTGAGTAATAAAATTGTTATTCCTAATTCTGTATTTGATTATTCTGTGTGCAAACTTGCTAAAAGCAAGACTCTTCCCTTTCCATCTATAGCTCATCGTGGCAATAAATATTTTGATCTTATTCATAGTGATGTTTGGGGTATGTCACTAGTCTTGTCTCATGCAAAGTATAAATACTTTGTAACTTTTATTGATGACTATAGCCGACTTACATGGATCTATTTTCTTCGCTTTAAATCTGATGTCTTTTGTATGTTTAAAAAGTTTTTGGCATATATAGAGACACAGTTTGACACATGTATCAAGGTTTTACATACTGATTCTGGTGGGGAATATATTTCTCACAACTTTCAAGAGTACTTGCAGCAAAAGGGGATTCTTTCACGACGTTCTTGTCCATATACGCCTCAGCAAAATGGCATTGCAGAATGCAAAAATTGGCACTTGCTTGATGTTACCCGAACATTACTCCTTCAAGCCTCTGTTCCTTCTCAATTCTGGGCCGAAGCCTTGTTTGCGGCTGTATACTTGATTAACCTCCTCCCATCTCAGGTTTTGGCTTTTTGATTGTCCTTTCTTTCGTCTCTATAACACTCAACCAAGTTATGATGATCTTTACACTTTTGTGTGTGTGTGCTTTGTGCACTTGCCACCTCTAGAGTGTCATAAACTCGATGCTCAATCTGTGCAGTGTGCCTTTATGGGTTATTCTCCTACTCAAAAGGGGTTTTTGTGTTATGATGCCATTGCTCAACACACACGCATTTCTAGAAATGTGATTTTTTTATTATCAATATTATTTTCCAAATTTTCCTTCTGACTCTAACAATTTTATTCCTCTTCATACCTTTGTTGATGTTCCTCGCCCTATAGCATGTTTTAAACCTGGACAGGTATATACTAGACGACCTCCTACTTTGCCCTCTCTTGATGCCGATCCACCGCCTGAACCAGCACCAGTTACACTGCATCGATCCACTCGCATGCATCGAACACCTGATATGTATGGATGGGAGTCTACTTCTCTTACTGCTACTTTATCTAGAATCCCTATTCCCACGTGTTATTTGCAGGCTGTTAAGGACATGCGTTGGGTAAAGGCCATACAAGATGAGCTACAAGAACTTCAGGAGAATTTCACTTGGGACATAGTCCCTTGACCTCTTGGTGTTAAACCCATTGGTTGCAAATGGGTGTACTCTGTGAAGTTAAATTCAGATGGTTCTCTAAATCGTCATAAGGCCCGATTGGTTTCTTTGGGTAACAAACAAGAATATGAGGTAGACTATGATGAGACTTTTGCACATGTGGCAAAGATGGCCACTGTCCGTATAATCCTTTCTATTGCTGCCTCTAAAGGCTGGTCCCTATATCAAATGGATGTGAATAATGCATTTCTTCACGGTGATTTAGCAGAGGATATTTTTATGAAACCTCCTTCAGGCTTGTTTTCTTCCTCTGAAGGCGTGTGCAAACTCAAGCGTTCTTTATACGGCTTGCGGCAGGCTCCTCAAACATGGTTTGAGAAATTTAGATCTACCCTTCTTGGATTTTCTTTTACACAGAGCCAATATGATTCATCCTTATTAATTCATCATATGTCCGCTGATATTGTTCTTATTCTCATTTATGTTGACGACATGATCATTACTGGCTCTGATCAAGCGTCCATACAACTACTTAAACAGTAGCTTCAAGCTTCCTTTCACATGAAGGATCTTTGATATCTTCACTATTTCTTGGGGCTTGAGGTTCATTCTGACTCCAAAGGTATTTTTCTCAATCAGCACAAGTATACTAAGGGCTTAGTTTCTTTGGCTGGTCTTTAATCTGTTGTCCCTGTACATACTCCTCTTGAAGTTAATGTCAAATATCATCATGATGAGGGTGATCTTTTGCCTGATCCTTTATTGTATTGTCAATTGGTGGGAAGTCTTAAGTATTTAACTATTACACGTCCGAATATTTCCTTTGCAGTACAACAAGTTAGTCAATTCATGCACACTCCTCGTCATCTTCACTTGGCTGCTGTTCGCCGCATCATTCGCTATTTAAAAGGAACTTCTCATTGAGGATTATTTTTTCCGGCCAATACATCTCTTACTTTTCTTGCCTATAGTGATGCCGATTGGGCAGGTTGTGTTGATACACGAAGGTCGGTGTCCGGTTGGTGCATGTTCTTTGGTTCTGCCTTAATATCTTGGAAGAGCAAAAAGCAAGCCCGGGTTTCCAAGTCATCCACTGAATCTGAATATCGAGCTATGTCCACTGCTTGCTCTGAAATAACTTGGCTTCATGGTTTAATGGCTAAACTCGAATTCCCTCAAACCAATGCTACGCCTCTCTATACTGACAACACGAGCGCTATTCAGATTGCTACTAATCCAGTTTTTCATGAGCGCACTAAACATATTGAAGTGGATTGTCACTCCATTTGTGAGACTCTTGATGATCATGTTATCTCTCTTCCTCATGTCTCCTCGCAGCTTCAGCTTGAAGATATCTTCACTAAAGCGGTTCCTCGTCCCCGTCACCAGTTTCTCCTTAGGAAATTGATGCTTCTTGACAAACCGCATCAATTTGAGGGGGGGGGGGGGTGTCAATGAGGATATCTGTCATTTATGGTTGTTTCTTATTTTATATTTTGAGAAATCAGAAAATAGAATCAAGAATATTCCTATTTGAATGTATAGAATTAGACTTCCTAATTTGGATTGTACAACTTAGGAAATAGAGTTAATTAGTCATTATTACCTGTAAATGTAATTGTATTATATATAGAAGAGAATATAAACAGGGAAGGCATCAAGCCAATTACATTTGACAAATATGGGGCATTTGTGTCATTGTTTCATTACAAAATGGACATCAGAATGAACATCATTTGACATGTCGCAAATGTCTACTTTAACGGTGCAAAACCCTCAATTGAATTTAAGATCAATGAGTACACCCCTCTTAAAGATTTGAAATATATAATGCAGAATATTCTACCATACAACGATGATAAAAAATTGTGAAGATCGAGTACCGTTCGCTGTTTGTTGACAACGAAGGAATATTAAGTTTAACAACTTTGAGCCGAAGACGGGAGCAAGCTTAAGGGTTGTGTGAAATACTTTTTTCAGTTTAGAATCAAAAGTTCTGATCAAGTTGGATGCGAAGATTTCACGATTGGTCAAAGATATTATGAAGATGTTGCAATGTCCACCTGAAATCTGAAAGGTAATGTTTGATCTATGGCAGCATCACCTATGCACTGTCTTTTTAATGTTATTAATGAAATTTTTATTTTGTCATCCTATATCTTTTTCATTTTTGTCTTTCTATTTGTGTTTTAGTATAATACGGAAATACACCTCTATGTAGTGTCAGAAGGAGCATCTCCAGATGCTAAATAAACACACCTGAGGTGTGTTTCAAAATCAGCTTTGGTTGTATTGTGGCGTTATTGTATTCTCAAGTGGTGTGTCAATAATGCATAGGGTGCATTAAGAAATTTCCAAATTTTTTTCAATTTCAAACATGCAAATTTGTAGGTCTTATTTGGGTTGAAAAAATCATTGCATGCAATTTGTTTCTTGAAAAAGGTAAAACGTTAGATTTGAGATGTTAAATTGTTCCTTAATGAAAGAAAAAATGAAAACAGGACACTGACTTTGAAAGGAAGAGATGTTGAACAAAATGCTTATAAAGAAAAAAAAAATCTTAAACAAAATGAAGAAGAAGAGAGTTTTGTCTGACCCATTAAAGCTCAATTTGCTCTTTGACAAACTAAATCCCAATCCACAACAAACTTGTTAAAAAGATAATTTTGAAACACACTATTACAATAAGTTATAAACAAGTATTCAGTTCTTAATCACAAGTTGAACTTCGCAATGGTAGACACATAATTAAAGGGTCCCGGCTAAATGCGACCCAATCAATCATGTTTGTTGAATTTGTAGTTCACTATGATGGAGAAATAAGTCAACTTCACCGTGCTATCTCCTTCACCTGTAATCGATTAGGATAACAAACAAAGACACAAAGCTAATTTTCGATCACTACAATTGATAAGATGATGGTTATGAGTATAGTATATTTGATCATAGAAGCTAACTGTTACATTAAATGCATCAGTTGGTAAACTGATGCTTCAATCCTTACCCAGATGAATTGACATATACAGAAAAATGTAACAGGAAAATATCCAAAACAATATAGTTGTTACTGCATGATTCCTAACAGAAAAAGTGAATCTGTCGCAACAAACTTCTCAGTATTCTATAGCTTCCTAAATCTGTTAGCTATAGGAAAATCAGAGCAAAAAGACATATCTCCATTGCTCTCATCAGCATCAGGGAAAGCCCTGCGCGCGAACCACTAGCGACCATCAAAGGGAATTGGCAGCCATTCTCTGAAGGATCCTCGCGTGTAACCATAGCCAAACCAGTGAAATCACAGTTCCAATCCATCTGATTATTAACTTGATAATACATATTGAAAGCATAAGAAGCATTCCCTTGAAGAGTTAGACCATTACAGCTAGAGCCATAGCCAAGTGCTGTACAATCAGATTGGCTACAAGCATAGTCAATACTTTTAGCCAAATCATCCAAATCAGTAGCTTCTGGATCCAAAACACACCACCTCCTTTGAAGGTATTTAACACCTTCAACAGCAACAAGACCCTTTTCCTTATTTTTACCTCTTATGTCTAATTCATACTTTGGTTTTCCATCAAACTCAAACATCCCCCAATGTCTCTCAAAGTTACCAGGAGCAATACTTTTAGCATTCTCATCAATGAGACTGAATAGATAAAAGTCGATCATACCTTTTCTTTTGGGTGTACCATTCCCACTAAGAGCATGTTTAATGAAACCTTGGTTGAACCTTTTCGCATTTGTGGCATTGGCGTTCTTATCACCATCCGTTGGCCACCCAACTTCACCAACTGTAATATGCAAGTCAGGATAACCTGATTTTTCTAGAGCCCACATAAGGGTATCAAGATTTGCATCAAATACATTGTTATAAACAGCTTTGCCATCTCTAAGAGATTTGTTTTCTCCATCAAAAAATGCAAAATCAAATGGGAAATTATCACTGCCATAAAGGCTAAGAAAAGGGTAAATATTAACTGTGAAAGTTGAGTTATTTGAATAGAGGAATTGGATTATTTCAATTGTGATGTCTCTTATTTCAGGCCTGAAATCACCTGCAGATGGCACTGGATTTGTGTCTGGTGAATAGTAAATGTCAGCATTGAATGGAACAGTGACTTTTATCTTTGTACCCAATCCTGCATTGTTGAGTGAAGTCTGTATATTCTTCAGAGCTGGAAGAGTTTTATTTAGATATGCACCTTTGTATGCTTTAAGAAATGGCTCATTACCTACAGCAACATACCTGCAATAGTAAGCATGGAGAGTGAGCAACACTCCAGTCAACAAATTAAGGCTACAATTACACCACCCTAAACTCTAAAACCACATTAGAATATCCAGACAACAGATTAAGTAATTAACTGTATGTTTGGTTTAGCTTTCTGGAAGGGGCAAAAGCAATTCCAGAGGTGTAGAATTGATTCTGCAATGATTCGGAAGTGTTTGGTTCTTTCTAAAGTAAAATTAATTCTACCTCCAGAATTGATTCTACTTGAAGCTACAATTTGTAGCTTTTGAATTTAAACGTGATTTTTACACTAAAATTTGTTATTCAACTCACTTCCAAACATAAATCACTTTACATCCAATTCACTTTTAACCAGAACGAATTCTACAAAATTAATTCACTCGGAACCAAACATAGAGCAATTGGTTTCACGTTTGGAGCACTCAAAATTGATTATGAATGTGTATTACTCTGGAGTAGAATTAATTAATCTTTTTAAAATTGATTATACTAAAAGCTAAGATTTGTAGCTTAAACCGATTGATAAAAAAAGCAAAAGAAATGAAACTAGAAATTGCAAAGTTGAAAGAGTACCGAACTTGATATTGACACCACCAGGGAACAAGTAAGTGGTAACGTTTTGATAAACCCAAGCATCAGCAGCTTTAGGATTGTTACTAATCCTGTCCAACATGACATTAGGAATCGCAACCATAACTTCGATATTAGAACCCATAAGAGCTATCATAATGGTATCATCAGCATCAAATAGCTTCAATTTTTTGAACCCGTTTTGCATAAGCATCTTCACAACTCTCGTTGGTGGAAGCTGGTGTGTTGTCATGGTTCCCCAGTTTACACCAACCCAGCCAGAGGAACTCGAGATTAGAATGAACAAGGTAATGAGGAACGTTGCTAGCTGCTTAGAATTTGAACCATTTTCGTGCGCCATTTTTTTGGGTTTTGGTTGTTATGATGATTTCAAGTTTGAGAAGATTCTAGAATGTTGAAATAACAGAATGTCATGTAGAATAACAAGTTCGTTTCTTTCAGTGACTTAACACGGAAGGTAAATAAAAAGTTTTTTTTTTTTTTAAATTCTTTTCGGCAGAGAAAGTTGAAAAGAAAAGTTATATTTCTCTTTTTTTTTTTTTTTGTGAAAATGATTCAAAAATGGAGTTAAGATTCGTTCCTTAATTTGGTGTATGGTGGTGCCATATAAGTTATTGTTAAAATAGTGTTTGTAACGAATTATTTTTGTAGAAAGGTAACACATCATTTCTATTTTGGTTTATCACCATACGATGAAATGAGTTCAAACATCAAGTGATTTTATTTCTTTTTCGAATTGTGGAGATATCAAATCCAAAATTAATCACCACGAGAGAAACTAACCATTGATATCAATAACATAATTTTACTATATGATTTTGGCACTAAATTAATGTGCACCACTGAAACCGTTTTTGACCAAAAATTATAAATAAAAATAAATCTTATAATATATAAAACATTTTAATTAAAATGACTATAAAATTGATTATAAAAAAAATTAATAACACGACTTAAAAATATCTTAAAGTAATGCTTTATGTATTAATGACTTAAAATCATCAATAATTGACTTAGAATTAACGTATGTATTACACTAATTTGCATTTTAATATAAATTGTTATACTATCTTCTAAAAATCTAGCATTAATATTATTTTTCAACTTAGTTTTATTAACGTTTAATGCTGAAAAAAACCTCTCAGTTTTAGCAGTAAAAATTGGAAGAGTCATAATAAAGTAGAATAGTCTATCAATCAAGATAAATTTCAGTCTGTTCAATTGCAACCAACACATAATAGCCGATAAACAAATAAAAAATGTCAGAGTTGAAAATTGTAAATTATTCTTCTCTTAAACACTAAAATTCATATGATAATATTTTTCAACTAGAAAACAAATAATATCAATGTTAAAATCTTTATGTTCATCCTTAGGATACAAAAAATAAGAAAGAGTTAACAAATCAATTGCATGTTCACTAAATTTGCTATTCAACTCTTGTAAAATGTTTGTCAATGGTAGTGAAAATGATTTTAATTCTAAAGTAATGTTAATTTGTGACTTGATTCTCTTCAAGACGAGAGCGTTCAAATCTTATTGCTGAATGAAAATCATTAAGATTAAGAATTTCAATACCATGCTTTTCACAAAAAGATTTCACTCTATGAAACAACATATATCCCAACCATTTTCTCTCAAGTCTTGAATAAGACCTTTTGTTGAACGAACCACGTGCATAATATTAACTACATCTTGAATTGTTTTTGTAAGACTTGACAAAGTATATTTATTATCCTCATAACTTCTTTCATCAAATGAAAAATAAATATAAAATCAAATGTCTTGAAGTAATTGTAAGAACTTTCAGCATTCCCATGTGTAGCATAATTTCCTCATTCTTTTACAATTTTTTTAAATTGAACAAGTTGCTTCATACATGTTTATCAAGCTATAAATATAATTGTAATGTGATCCTCAACGAGTATCTCAAACTCGTTTCAAAGTACCAACAAATATCTCCAACTCATCTCAAAGTACCAACTTGATTTGCACCTTTAGTAGTTACAATCTCATGAATCTATAACAAATATGCAATTTCTACTAATTGGGCAACTTGTTACTGCTCATGGCGCTTAGTAGAACAATAAACAACATTGACAACAAAAATCAGCTTCTCCAGATATCTTCATTATAGTATATTAAATCTAATGCATCAAATAATATAACAACACATCATCAATTATAACTCTAACATATCATCAAGTATAACTCTAAGTTTGACACATCATCTTATAGTCTTATGTAGCACATCACAAAACTCATTTTTATCCTATACTTCTATAAATCCGAGGTCACGGGTTCGAACTTTCGCAAAACAGAATAAAATATCATTTTATATTTCCTTAAATTAAAAATATCCTCTCATATTTCAAATATAAAAGAGATGAGGAAATTCAAATACAATAAAATATTTTTTGTTTTCCTGAAGTTATAGCAATAACAATAACACTTGAAATAAATATTTTTTAATCTTAGAGTAGTTCTTACAATATTTTCAAGTATAAGTCACTTTTAACTTATTTAAAATATAATATAGTATGCAATAGTTTTTTTTACAGTGCTTATATACTTTACTACTATATTTTTTTTATATAAATCAAATAATAAACTAATGACAAATAAGAAAATACTACGCAAAAGAGATAAGAGAATGCAAACACAATAAAATATTTTTATCTTATTTTGGACAAAATGGTACAACAAGCCAGTTGTAACACCCAAACTTTCATTTATTAATTATTTTATTAGTTATTTATTTTATTAATTATTATTTGATATGATAATTAATTAAATTGTATGATTTTTTGAATATATGAGTTATTTGAATTAATTGTTTAATTGTGTTTTGGGTTAGTAAGTGTGAGAATAGCAATATTAAGTAATTGGGTCTTGGTATGATGGGTTAGTTTGAATTGGAATAGATAAGCCCATTAAAGAAATAAGAGTTAGTAAGGGGTTTTATAAAAACAAAGAGAGAATTGTAAAAAAATAAGAGAAGAGAAGAAAGAGGAAAAGAGGAGAAAAGAGAGAAAAGAGAAGAGAAGAAGATAGAACCCTAGATTATCTACATCCAAGGTAAGGATGAGTAATTTGCTTATTATGGGATTATATATGAGTATGTAATGGGTAGAATGTATGATTTAGGGATTTTATCCTTCAATTTCTAGATTTTGACATGTTAGAGTTTGGATGTGAAATCATGAAATTGGTATTTGAATCATGTTTTTATGTTGATAATTGATACTACATGTTGGATATATGTTATAATATATTTAATTACATGAAAATGATTGTTGTAATGAATTTTGGAACCCAAATTCGTAGAGGACAAAATGGTGTTCGAAGCAGATTTTTTCTGTATTTCATAGAGGACGCTTAGCGCCGTGGGTCGCGCTTAGCACGGTATGGAATGAAATTTTTTATATTTTGTTTGATTGATTGGGGGTCATGTATGCTTATGATTTATGAAGAATTTTCATGAATTATAATGATTTATTCGATGTGTTTTGGATGACTTTTGATGGGAAATATAATACTTGAATTTGTGTATATGTATGTTGGGAATTGATGTTGATTGTAGATGACATGGATTAAACTTGTTGCTACATGTTATAATGATGTTTTGAGATGATTAATGCTATGAGTATGTATTGTATGTGAATGTTGATATGATGTATGTATGTTGTGCAATTTGGTGAAGATAATTCAGATATATTGAATTATGTGAAATATGCTTGTATGATTAAGATATGGAGATGGTCTTAATTGCATATATATGTTAAGATTGCACGCACATCATGAGTTGTCAAGAGACAATGTTTGATAATTATGTGGGAATTATTGACTTGTTCCAAACCTAGAGGACTGGTTTGAAGCTTAGATGACAAACTTTTTTGGTGGTTATCTGTCTGAGAAATGGATCCGACAAGACCGATAAGGATAACAATTAGTGTCACATGCATATTGCATTGAGTCGCATTGGAGTCACATGTGTTGATGTGAAATATTCAATTGGTGTGCAATATGTGATATTGGTGTGAATGTTATATATGTGGTATTTGTGATTGATTATTTTGAATCTTGAATTGTTGAGCAATGTGGTATATGTAATCATGTGAGTTGGACTAGATAATGTTGAATACATGATTATGTGAAATATGATGAATTTAATTGATGTATGTATGATTTGCATTGCTATTATTATATATTTCTATAATAATGTGAATTCTCACCCTTCTGTTGAAATGATGTTTTATACGATATCGCTCAGGTACCGAGAATAGTGGTGGTGCTTCTAGCAAGGATTAGTCAGAGGAGCTAGATTCTTCTTTATCCGTTTTATTAGATAGTGAGTCATGCTCCGATCTATGTAACATGGAGAACATTTGGATTCATGTTGTATTCATGTTTGTTTTGAGAGATGTTTGTTATACTCTCTGATTATTTATGTTTTTTGCGAGATTATTTGATGGTGGTCTTTAGTACCTAATGTTTTATTATATGATTGTCAGTATGAGATTTCAATCATTAGTATTATTTTGAAATGAGAATTATTCAGCTGTGAGATGCATGTGTGTTATTGTATGGAACATGATTCTAAAGTCGTGTTATGAGCATGGCCAGTGTATTGTGTTGTTGTTGTGAAGTAAACGTGACACCCTCATTTTATGCGGGGTTTTAGAGTGGTGTTACACCAATCATTACTTCAAATATGTATATTCCCTCATTTTAAGAATATTTCTCTCAAATTTCAAAAATAAAAGAGATGTCAAAATTCAAACACAATAAAATATTTTTTGTTTTCCTGAAATTATATCAATAAAAATAACACTTGAAATAAATATTTTTAATCTTAAAGTAGTTTTACACAATTTTTAAATATAAGTCATTTTAAGTTGATCTTAAAAAATAATATAGTATGTAACAATCTTATAAAGTTCGACAAAATAGACATAAATTTTATAAAATTATTGAAAGTTTTATTTGATAATAAAATTATAAATTATAAATTTTATTTAACACTAATATATATATATATATATATATATATATATATATATATATATATATATATATATATATATATATATATATATATATATATATATATATATATATATATATATATATATATATATATATATATATATATATATATATATATATATATATATATATATATATATATATATATATATATATATATATAGTGTTAAATAAAATTTAAAAAAATAATATAGTATGTAACAATCTTATAAAGTTCGACAAAATAGACATAAATTTTATAAAATTATTGAAAGTTTTATTTGATAATAAAATTATAAATTATAAATTTTA